CCATTGCTAAGTCGGGCCTGTCCCTCTACAGGACAAACTTGCAAAAATTGTCAAGAAATAGTCAGGGGACGATTTTTTGGGCATTTCCCAACAATCCTGTGGTGTTGGGTCCTCGTTTTGAAGAGACGGTGCCCCGCGTCTCCTCCTCCCGCTGCCCCCTCCCTCCTCCCTCCTCCCCCTCCGTGCCTCTGCTCTCGGCACACCTCTCACACGTTTCGTAGCCCCAATAGGGACCTCCACCGAAGGCCCCAATGGTTGCTCTCGCACGCGGTCCCCCCACCCAGGGCAGCGCTTCGAGGCCGCATAGGGAGCTCCACCGAAGGCACCAGCAGCTGCTCTCGCATGCGGTTCCCCCACCCAGGGCAGCGCTTCGTGGCCCCATGGGGAGCTCCACCGGAGGCCCCAGTGGCTGATCTCTCATGCGGTTCCCCCACCCAGGGCAGCGCTTCGTGGCCCCATGGGGAGCTCCACCGGAGGCCCCAGTGGCTGCTCTCGCATGCGGTTCCCCCACCCAGGGCAGCGCTTCGTGGCCCCATGGGGAGCTCCACCGGAGGCCCCAGTGGCTGCTCTCGCATGCGGTTCCCCCACTCGGGGCAGCGTTTCGTGGCTCCATGGGGAGCTGCACCGAAGGCCCCAGTGGCTGCTCTCGCATGTGCTTCCCCCACCCAGGGCAGCGCTTCGAGGCCCCATGGGGAGCTCCTCCGAAGGCCCAGTGGCTGCTCTCGCATGCGCTTCCCCCACCCAGGCAGCGCTCGAGGCCCCATCTCCACCGAAGGCCCGAGTGGCTGCTCTCGCATGCGTTTCCCCCACCCAGGGCAGCGTTTCGCCCCATAGGGAGCTCCACCGAAGGCCCCTGCGCATGCTTCCCCCACCCAGGGCAGCGCTTCGTGGCCCCATAGGGAGCTCCACCGAAGGCCCCAGTGGCTGCTCTCGCATGCGGTTCCCCCACCCAGGGCAGCGCTTCGTGGCCCCATAGGGAGCTCCACCGAAGGAAGGCCCCAGTGGCTGCTCTCGCATGCGGTTCCCCCACCCAGGGCAGCGCTTCGTGGCCCCATAGGGAGCTCCACCGAAGGCCCCAGTGGCTGCTCTCGCATGCGGTTCCCCCACCCAGGGCAGCGCTTCGTGGCCCCATAGGGAGCTCCACCGAAGGCCCCAGTGGGGGTGTTCGCATGCGGTTCCCCCACCCAGGGCAGCGTTTCGTGGCCCCATAGGGAGCTCCACCGAAGGCCCCAGTGGCTGCTCTCGCGGTTCCCCCACCCAGGGCAGCGCTTCGTGGCCCCATAGGGAGCTCCACCGAAGGCCCCAGTGGCTGCTCTCGCATGCGGTTCCCCCGCCCAGGGCAGCGCTTCGTGGCCCCATAGGGAGCTCCACCGGAGGCCCCAGTGGCTGCTCTCGCATGCGGTTCCCCCACCCAGGGCAGCGCTTCGTGGCCCCATGGGGAGCTCCACCAGAGGCCCCAGTGGCGGCTGCTCTCGCATGTGCTTCCCCCACCCAGGGCAGCGCTTCGTAACCCCACAGGGAACTCCACCGGAGGCCCCAGTGGCTGCTCTTGCATGCGGTTTTCCTGCGCAGGGCAGCGTTTCGTGGCCCCATAGGGAGCTCCACCCAAGGCCCCAGTGGCTGCTCTCGCATGCGGTTCCCCCACCCAGGGCAGCGTTTCGTGGCCCCATAGGGAGCTCCACCGAAGGCCCCAGTGGCTGCTCTCGCATGCGGTTCCCCCACCCAGGGCAGCGCTTCGAGGCCCCATAGGGAGCTCCACCAAAGGCCCCAGTGGCTGCTCTCGCATGCGGTTCCCCCTACCCAGGGCAGCGCTTCGTGGCCCCATGGGGAGCTCCTCCGAAGGCGCCAGTGGCTGCTCTCGCATGCGGTTTCCCCACCCAGGTCAGCGCTTCGTGGCCCCATAGGGAGCTCCACCGAAGGAAGGCCCCAGTGGCTGCTCTCGCATGCGGTTCCCCCACCCAGGGCAGCGCTTCGAGGCCCCATAGGGAGCTCCACCGGAGGAAGGCCCCAGTGGCTGCTCTCGCATGCGGTTCCCCCTACCCAGGGCAGCGCTTCGTGGCCCCATGAAGAGCTCCACCGAAGGCCCCAGTGGCTGCTCTCGCATGCGGTTTCCCGCACCCAGGGCAGCGCTTCGTGGCCCCATAGGGAGCTCCACCGGAGGAAGGCCACAGTGGCTGCTCTCGCATGCGGTTCCCCCGCCCAGGGCAGCGCTTCGAGGCCCCATAGGGAGCTCCGCCGAAGGCCCGCCCCACTGGCTGCTCTCGCATGCGGTTCACCCACCCAGAGCAGCGTTTCGTGGCCCCATAGGGAGCCCCACCGAAAGCGGCACCCACAACGCGTTACGAACAATTGCTTATGGTTGGGTCCTTCACCAGGATATTTTTTGTCCATTATGGTGCACAGTGTGTTTTTGGCTTTTGTTTCAAATCCTCCTGTAGGGGGACATGCCCGACCTAAATCCAGTGCATGTTCTGCGGCACAGATGCACCGGACGGTACAGAACATTACACACATTGCCCGCATGTGAGCGACGGAAACAACGGGGTCGTCTGCGCCGACATTGGCGCGTAAGCTGCCAGCGGAAGGTCGCGCGTGAGTGCCCTCGTCTCCAGTGTGGCGCGCCGCGCTGGCGGCCCGCGTAAGCCGCCCCGTAACGTCGCCGCGCCATCTCGGCCCATGTGCGGTCGTCCGCGCTCAGGTTTTCGGCCTCCCGCGCCCAGACACCGCGGCTGTTTTTGGGCCAACTTATCCCTGCTTGACCTCGCGCCGGACGGGCTGCGACTGGACGTCCTGGTTCGCAAAACGCTGCGCACCGCCGCCGTGTGCAGGGTGCACTGCCTGGCCCGGCATGGCGCCGTCCCCGTTGGTGTAGCTGCGCGCGAGGCTCTTTGTCAGTCGGTTCGGGAACTTGTAAGTGGCCACTGTTTCTTAGCGAGCTCTCGGGCACTGGTGTTGATCTCCTCTATCGTCTGCCCCCTTTTTGTCCATGTTCCCTCCGTCCTCTCTCCTCCTGCGCCGCTTCGCCGTGCCATGCTGTTGAGCCCGCCCGGGCGGCGCGTGGTTCAGTGCTACGCTCAGTGGCAGCGTTCCTCCTCGTTTCCCTACTGCAGCAATGGTTGATTGCAGACACTCGTTAGATAGTTAGCAGGTCGAGAGCCTCACATCAGGTGCTTCCCTGATATTGTCGGGGGCCTCCCGGTGCTACGGTGCACCGCACCTTCGGCGCTGCGAGCCGATCCCGACTCGACTCGAACCCATCCTTCAACCGAGCGCTGCTCCTTCTTCCCTCCTCTCCTCCCTCATCGTCGTCCTCCCCTCCCCATCCCTCCTCCTGTGTTGCTTCGCCGTCGTCATCCCCGTTGCCAGTGCTCTTCCGCCAGCGCAGCGACCCTGCCTAGTCGCCGACGCAAGCCGTGTTCCTCCGCCGTGCGTGGTGCCTGCTTGGAGGGCACAGGGCTCGGTGTTACGCTCGGCAGGAGCGGTCCTCCTCTCCTCCCTCCTCCCCTCCTTTGTCGTCGTCGTTGTCGTTCCGTCCTTCGCCTTCTACTCCCCCCGAATTGTTGGGCACGTGCCGTGCGTGTGGCCTGTTGGGGGCAAAAGGCGGCCGACCCCGGGCATTGCTCACAGCCTTGCCCCCTTGCCTCCCCCTCATCCGCCCCCCGCGCGCGGTGTTTAGTCACATGTGTACTTCAGTTGGTGAGTGCACGCGCCCACCTTGCGACCCGGATTTGTTTCCCCAACCCCCACCTTCTGGTGCATCCGACTGTGGTGTGTTGAATTGAGGTTCTTTTTCCGATGATGCGATGCCTGCGTGCGCAGGCAATCTAACCAGTTGCGCCATCGGGGTATTTAAATCTTCAAGTGTGTCCGTTTCCCAAGTCCTTGGCTATGCGTCTTGATTCGCCGATTGTAGGTCGGTCGGCGCGCTGTTTGAGGGTATTGTGCGGTTTCTTTCCCCATCATCCGCTCGCCCCTCGTCGGCGCCTGCGTCTTCGTTTCACCTTGGAGGTAGGGCAGCTTGCCGACTCCCCAGTCGCATCCCAATCGATGGCGTCGCTTCATTGGTGCCTATTCGCCCTGGAGACAATCACGGTGGAAACCCTGGTTTCCTAGGGTTTTACAAGGGTGTCGTTCCGTTTGCAATGTTCCCCCGTACGATTCATATGTGTTGTTGTTTTGTCGTTGGTGCGAATTGGCTTCTTCATAGACTCTTGTTGCTGTTGCAGCTGCTAGCATTGTTCGTTATTGTGCTTGGCCCCGCAGGGCGCAGGGCGCAGTTTCTTTGTGGTCGTCTGGCCTCGCAGAGGCCACTTTCGGGTACTACGGTGTCGCAGGGTGCAGTGTTTGTATCATGGCCTCGCAGGGCGCAGCTGTTTGGTATCATGGCACCGCAGCGCCATCGAGACAACGGTCGGGACATTCATCGAGACAACTGGGACAACCATCGGGACAACCATCGGGACAAGCATCGGGACATCCATTGGGACGACCATCGGGACGACCATTGGGACAGCGGTCGGAGCAACCATGGAAGCAACCATCGAGGCAACAATTGGGGCAACCATCGGGGCAGCCATGGAGACGACCACCAGGACAACTATCGGGACAACCATCAAAACAGCCATCGAGACAACCATCGCGACATCAATCGGGACAACCTATCGGGACAATCCCGTGCCACGGCCGCCGCGGGCGCGACTCAGTTTTGTTCGACCTGGCCTCGAACTAGAGGGCGAAGTCGCGCAGCTTCGCCTTGCCTCGCCTTTAGGTGCTCATACAAAACGATGCTGGTGTTTTATATTGGGACATCAACGGGTTTCAATGTGTTGAGGGCAGTACTTGTTACACGTTCGGGTCCTTGGCGTGCCCGTGGTCCACTTGCCAGCGTGCTTCTCGCTGCCATAGCGTTTCATTTCGTTCTTTTTAAGATATAGCAAAGGCGCTTGCCTGAGGTCCACTTTCTCAGGGACCGCTTTTCGCACGTTCGGGTTGAGCCAAGAGCAAACAGTGCAAAACGAAATAGCCAATCAAACACAAGCAAACAGATACCCCCCCCCCAGCGCTTCAACGAATAATTAACGCCTCGCCTGCACGTTACGCACGACACAAGCCGAAACCAAACTCGATTTCCCAGATGGGGTGCCTCACGTTCAATTTCGATCGCACCCCCCCCAACCTCCGACATCAACATTGTGGCATGAGGAACGTCATGAGGTCTGCGTGTGTAGATTGCATACGTGTGCATGTATGTTAAATTAGCAGGCGTACGTGCGCTTCTCATTGCCCCTCTCCCTTCCTCAGGCTCCTCTTCCTCATCCTGGCCACTCCCTTGCGCCTGCGGTTCTGTGTGGCATTGCTGTGACATCTGCTGGCGGCCATTTCATTTCAGTGCACAGCGAGCTTATGGCATTATATTGCGTGGGGTATGCATACATCTGTGGAACATACGTACCCGTATCACAACCAGAAGTCGTGTCCCCTTCTTGTTTGGTCAGGCAGTGATTGAGACCACTTGCCCCAGTGGCAGTGGCGCAGCGTCCTCAGACGCTTGCGGAGGTAAAGAAGTAGCACATAGGGTGGACCGCGGTGGAGGGAGCTGGTGGCTGCAGTCGGAGGCTCGCGACATGCGGTAAAATCTCGCGAGAACGCGAAGTAGTGCAGAGTTGCAGGTAAGTCTTGAGCTCCTCTTCGTCGTCCTCCTGCTCTGTAGTTCAGACCCTTTGCTGAGAGGCTTTTCTCGTTCTAGCACTTCAGGGCCAACCATGCGGTGCTCTCTCTTCCGAGGCGCTACCACCGCGTCAAGAAATCTGGGGCTCTCCCGAAGAAGTTTGCTATCCGGCACTCGCCCGCTCCGTCCCTTCAAGGTGGAGCGCCACCCTGGCTGGGACACGGCGCCATTCCTCTTGTCTTGTGCGGATTGCGAGCCGCTGCAGCTGCAGGAGTTGCTCTCAATGGCGGAAGCGGAGTCCGAGGCGCACGCGGTCAAAAGCTTGGATTTGTGGGAGAATCTGAATCTCGGGTACACGTATCAGCAAGGGCTGCCTTTATTGCGAGAGGAGATTCTGGGATCGGAGTTCTTGACAGACGGCGGCTCAGAACCTGCGGCCAGGGGCTCGATGTCACCCGACGATATCACCGTGGCCGCCCCGGCTGAGGGCATTTGGCTCGCCATGACAGCGCTTTTTGAATATTTCCAGTTGACGAACAACGGTGCTGCAAATCCTGCGATACATGTAATCGCCACAGCTCCATCGTATCAATCTCTAACGGAAATGGCGTATGCATTGAGGCCTATTTGCAAACTTTCTTTATGGAAGCCCGAGAAGAGTAGCTTGGATAATGAGCCGAGATTTTCAGTAGACGAGCTGGAGAGACTGCTTGCTGGCACCAGTCCTGAACGAGAGGATGGAAGTCCAGAGTCTACGACTTGCTCAACCGCAGCCTTCCAGCTCCTCGTCATGAACTTCCCCCACAACCCCACAGGCGCCCTTCTGTCTAGAGCCGACCTCGACAGGGTCATAAGCATGTGCCGGGAGCACAGAGCCTTCATCTCGGGTGCTGCCAGACGTGGCCCTGGCACAGGGTGGCTCTGGCTTTTCCAGGAAGGTTCACATGGCCTCCGGAACACCCGTCATGAGGACCACGGGGGCCCCAGAGGATCCAGAATGGCGCGCAAAGCCGCAGCACATTGGGCCGTGGCCGGGTCACATAGATAGTAGATCACAGAAGTTTCCGCTAGTTTGGGATTGAGTGTGCATCGGCGGCGAATAGCGCCCAATTAGGCGCTCAACAGCGCCCAATAGCGCTGAGCGTTTCCAATAGCGCCCAATAGTGACCAATAGCGCCCAATAGTGACCAATAGCGCCATGTGAGGGAGATGCATTCCGTCCGCTTTGCACGCTATTGGGCGCCGTGGGGACGACCAAAAGCTTCCGCGAGTTGCCCCCCGAGGTCGCGTACAGTGAAGACCCATGCCAAGAAACACCCTGCTTGCCTCCAGTGTGCCCTGGATTTCTTGGGTTTCGAGCGTTTCGCGATGGAAAGCGCGACGTCCCCACGCCGAAAATCAATGAACGTCCTGGGGTCTCACGGTTGGGTTTCATGTGGAAGGTTTCTTGTGGACTGGCCTCCACTGTGTTCCATATCCGCGGCTTCTCGGTCTGCACTCCTCGGCCGCGCCCCCAAGAAGATGCACGGCGGCTCTGCGCGGACGCCCCGCGCGGAGCGTGCCCATGGGATCGCTTTCTCCGTGGGCTCGCGCCTCGGCGTGCAGACCGCGGGCGCACTGGGTGTGGTTGCCCTGCGTCGCTCGTGCGGGCCGGCCCAGTGTGGTGCCGCGCCGGGGCCACGGGCACGCAGAGGCGACAGGGGGCAGAAGAGGGCGGCCGCGGAGGGGGAAGGCGTGGGGAGGCCTCAGGCGTGGAGAGTCTTCACCACGAAGGGTGCGCAGGCGCCTTCCAGGCACCAGGGGCCAGTGTACCGAACAGTGCGCGGTCAGTCCAGGCTGCCGAGGGGCGGGGGGGAGGGGCGGCTCCGGGACCACCGGAGAGGCAAGCCGTCATCCGCTGGGCGGCGGGCCAACCCAGTGCGGTGCACGCGTGCTGTGGTCAAGCGTCGAACCCACCAGGCCCATCTGGAGGGTTGAGCCGAAGGGTTTAGGCGACCCGGGACCCGTCCTCCTCCTCCTCCTTCTCCTCCTCCTCCTCCGCCTCCGCCTCCGCCTCCTCCATCTCCTCCTCCCCCTCCCTCCTCCTCCTCCTCCTCCTCCTCCTCCTCCTCCTCCTCCTCCTCCTCCTCCTCCTCCTCTTCCTCCTCCTCCTCCTCCTCCTCCTCCTCCTCCACCTCCACCACCTCCTCCTTCCCCTCCATCTACAATTACTCAATATGAATACTACTCTCCCTCTTCCCCTGATGACGGTTTGAAAGTGTCCGACCCCCCCCGCGTACTGTTTTTTACACAGGTTTCCCCGGAGTTGGGTTTTCGCCTGCATTTGTTTCAAAATGCTGCTCTCGCTGAGGCGCCGGCCTCATTTTCGGGCCCCGCTCGTTCCGAATCGTGCTCCCGCTGCAGCGCTGGCCTCATTTCCGTGCTTCCGCTCGTTCCGAATCGTGCTCCCGCTGCAGCGCTGGCGTCATTTCCGCGCTTCCGCTCGTTTCGACTCGTGCTCCCGCTGCAGCGCTGGCGTCATTTCCCGTGCCATGCCACGGCATGCTTGCAATGCTCGGTTGATACTACGCCTTGCGGTGCTCTTCTACGCCATGCCATGCCGTGCTCTACAATGCATCGCGTACCCTTTCGGGATCATTGCCCTGCTCGACATCCGACTGCGAGTAGAGAGGGGATCTACGCCATGGTAAGGGATGGGAGGGAGGGGTAGGATGTCAGATATGACGCGAGCGCACCTAGCTTGCCTCCTCCCCCTCCCCCTTCTCCTCCTCCTCCTCCTCCACCTCCACCTCCTCCTCCTCGGGTCGCCTACGGCCCTGGGGAAACCGTGCAGGCCCATCCGTGGGACGCGTTTCGACCAGCATTTGGAGGCGGACCCAGCCGCGGCGACGACGAGCCTCCCGGAGGCTGGCATGGGGCCAAGACGTGTCCAGTCGAAGAGTCCCTCGAGCCTCAGTCCTCCCTCGTGCTCGTCGCCCGTGGCTGGGGCCAAGAAGGGGAGGCACGTCTGGCAGCCCCCGGTCGTCTTCTCGGACGAGATGTACAGGGGGCTGGAGCTCGGAGAAGAATAATCCCGAGCATTTTCTTTGGGTGAGGGTGAAATCTGACATGCCGTTTCGACTGCTTTTCGAGGTTTGAATCTGCAAAAGGTGCATCACAAGACGGATCGAGCTTCGAGGTGCAAAAGCCCATATGGATTTCACCCTGAGCCCCCCACCCTGAGAAAATGCTCAGTAATCGGCGCGAGCACAAATTACTGGAGGTCCGCGCGGACCTGTCAGCGGCGTTGGACCCCCCTGGCGGCATCTCCAGCGCCGCTCCTGGCACGCTCGCCCAGGGGCAACGACGGTGGGTGGCTGGCTCATCTCGAGCAGCGGCGAAGCGTCCCGTGGTCAGTGCAAGATGTTCTCATAGCCTTTCTGACTGAGGCAGACGTGTGCTTGAAGACATCGGCGATCCGCGCGCCAGGGAGGGAGTCCAGCGCCGACCTATGCGATTCGATTCGCTGGCTGGTGCCGGGGGCCGCAATTCCGATTCGATTCGATCCGAGGCGATTCGCATCGACCAGGGCCAGCTGGAGCCGAGGGCGGCGATCAGACTTCGATTCGACTCAGATTCGCTGGCGATCAGATGCGTTTCCGACCCGACCCGATCTCGCGGTCTATCCAGCTCTTGCCTGCCCAGCGGATCCGCGCGCCTCTCCGAAGGTGGTTGTGCCCACGCCGCTCTCAGACATCCGCTGATGTGATTTCGTCAGTGCGCAGCCCCCGAGGTTCCGACCCCTCCCTTTGAAGTAGGCTTCCGTCCCGGATCCATCTCTGATGGCCTTGGTCGTGGCTCAAGGGACGGGGGCCAGTGCAAACGGGGGTCAGCCAGATCGCCCGATCTTGCAGGATCCTGCAGAGCAAGGGTTGCACTGACCCGGGTCAGCGTGCAGGACCCTGCAGGATCTTGCAGGATCCTGCAAGGCCCGACTGACCCAGGTTTGGATTGACCTGGGTCAGTAGATCCCCGACCTGGGGCCCTAGAGGCCAACACCGAAGAACAAACGCCAGAATTGTTAAAATGAAATCTGCGGGGGTCCAGGATCCCTTCCCACACCTCCGACGAGTCGATACTTTCGACCCTTTCTCTGAGGACATCTGATGACAGGATTTTCGCCCTGAGCAGGTTTTGACAGTCCCAGGGTCCGAAACCGGCTTCTCGAGACTGAAAATCCAGAAACAACTCCGACTCGATAATTTCAATGGTTTTCTGACGTTGGGAGAACGCCCACCCAGACAAGTCCTCTGAAGAAGTCTGCACTGGTTGACTCGACATTGGCATTCAAGTGTGCCAGTGCAGTCCCCGGTTGTTTTCGCTAATCGACGTGCACTTCGCATGCTAAGCTCGCTTGTCTTCGAACGTAGAATAGTTACCCCGTGCCGTGCGCACGTGGAGCGCACCTCGAAGCTTTTACAAAAAGGGCGTTTTACTATAGGGTGTTCTGTCAATCTTCGACTCTGGGACGCCATGTTCCGATGTTTGTCAATACGGGGTCACCAGAAGTCCCGACCTTTTCTCCAGGGCTGACTTTTCGTCCGCAGTCGTTTTCTGATGACCCCTGTGGACCAGCGAGGGCCCCGAGGGGCCGAAAACGAGGAAACAACTATGCCTTGACTTTTTCAAGACCTTGGGTGTCTGGGTGGGGGTCTGGGCCTTAGTTAGTGGTGCTTGTACACGGCCGGTCCGATTATTGTTAGCACAAATTATGGAACAATCATTTTGACAATGAGAACGGTTCAAAAACGACTCGCCGAAATGAAATTGATCTTGGATCGAAGTTGGAACCGGAACCGGAACACCGAAAAAAGGCGTCGTAACCAGAAACATACCAAACGAGGTTGGAAACAGGGGAGAAAACGGCAACACGAAGACGGACAGACAAGAATGGGCCTTATCGTTTTCAGGAACCGCGAATGTACCAGGCAGACCCCCGACGTCATGATTTGTTCATAACGTCGACCCCCAGAGGTCTCGATGGGATGGACCTGGACCTCTCCTGGGGTGCGTCCTGACCAAGATTCCGAAGCGATTCTGGCCGTGGCGACGAGGGATGGGTTACTGTATCGGTACCTCTCCCTCCTATACATATCCACCGCCTCTGGCCAGGCCCATCCTGGGTCCAGCAGTGGCGTACCCGGACCCCCGACGTCGTGTTTTTTTTTTTTTTTTTTTTTTTTGTTTTTTTCCCCCCCCAGAACGTCAACCCCAAGGGTCTCTACCCATTCCCAGGGACCGGTTGTTCGTCTTCGTTTTTTTGTTGGACGGCCCTGAGGCCGGGTAAGGCAAGGGCCTCCAGAAGCCGAAAATCGAGAAAAACCTCACGTCGCGATTTTTTCTCATGACTTGAGGGGGTCTGTCGGCGGCGAGCGAGGGGGGAAAATGAGAAGGGGCGGGCCTGCTCAGAAGGCTCGCAAGTCCCCCGGCCATGTGAGAAGCTTCCTGAGCCTTCCTCCAAGACGCAGAAAACCCAGTCGCGAGGGTTCCCGAGAAGTCCCGCCGCCTTCTGGGAAGGCCCTCTCCTCCTCGCTTCCCCCCCTCGCTCGCCGCCGAGTTTGGAGCCTGGGCCTCCAGGAGCACGGGCTGCCGCTGGGCCCCGGCGCGGGGCCCCCGGCAGGGGCCCGGAGCGCGCCGGCCGGCGGCCCATTCGACGAGGCGGCGTGGCGTGCCCGGCGTCTGCCCGCCGCGGCCGCCGTGTACGAGAGGGGGATCTCCCTCGGAGGCCCGCGGGGGGGCCCAAGGCAGGGCGCCTTCGGTCAGGGGAGGAAGACGACGCCGTCGTCGTCGTCGTGGCCCGAGGCAGAGCGCCCTCGGTCAGGGGCTGAGCGGGTGCCGATACCGCTCGTTGAGGCTCTGGGCTGCGCACACACAAGCCCCCCAGGCAGTTTGGGCTGGAGACCGCCCCAGACTATTCTCGGGGAGCCTGCTGAGGCCAGGCAGGACTCTCTCTCTCTCTCTCTGTCTCTTCACTCTCTCTCTCTCGCGAATTTTCTATACATATATATATATATACCTATACGACCACCCTTCGGGTGATAAGGAGGTGAGGGGGGGGGGAGGGACCAACGTCGCACTCGATCGATCTCACTCTCGATATCACTATCGATCTCACCATCGATCTCACATTCGGTCTCACTATCGATCTCACTATCGATATCACAATCGATCTCCCATTCGGTCTCACTATCGATTTCACTATCGATATCACAATCGATCTCACACTCGGTCTCACTATCGATCTCACTATCGATCTCACAATCGATCTCACATTCGGTCTCATTATCGATATCACTATCGATATCACAATCGATCTCACAATCGATCTCACATTCGGTCTCACTATCGATCTCACAATCGATCTCCCATTCGGTCTCACTATCGATTTCACTATCGATATCACACTCGATCTCACATTCGGTCTCACTATCGATCTTACTATCGATCTCACAATCGATCTCACAATCGGTCTCACTATCGATTTCACTATCGATATCACAATCGATCTCACAATCGATCTCACATTCGGTCTCACTATCGATATCACTATCGATCTCACAGTCGATCTCACAATCAATCTCACATTCGGTCTCGCTATCGATATCACCATCGATATCACAATCGATCTCACAATCGATCTCACATCGGTCTCACTATCGATATCACTATCGATCTCGCAATCGACGTCATCATCATCATCATCATCATCATCATCATCAACATCATCAACATCATCATCATCATCATCGCCATCATCAACATCATCATCATCATCATTACCATCATCATCATCACCATCATCATCATAATCATCATCATCATCATCATCATCATCAACATGATGATCGGGACACCGACGGGATACCGACGGGACACCGGCGGGACACCGCGCGCCACCGGCCGCCCGGTGGAGAATCATTTGGTCCGACCGCGCCTCAGCCACAGAGGACACCACCGGGACACCGGCGGGACACCGCGCGCCACCGGCCGCCCGGTGGAGACTTTCCTCTCGCCCGCCCACGCAGCTTCGCCTCGCCCGCACGCACGGCACGCACGAACACGAAACCGAAATCGATTTCCCGGTAGGGGGACTCTCTGTTCCACTTCGATCTCTCCCCCTCACCTCCGATAAATAGATGTATACATATATATATATATGTATACAGAGATATAAATTTATAACTATATAAAGATGATTGTTTCTTTCTCTGTGTATATACATGTCTTAGAGGGCCATCTTCTTGGGCCCCGGGGCCGTCAGACATAGATCAGGGACGCAACATTGCTCCAGGGGAACGGGTGGGGAGCCTTGCGCATATCGCAATAATCATATCGGAGGGTGCCTGGGCTCGAGGAGTGTACGCCCCCAGCCAGGGGCGGTGAGCGGTGGCCCAAGCAGAGTGCCATCGATGCCCCTTCTCGGAGAAGTGCAGTCCGCCTGGACCTCCGAAAGCTTGTGCGAATACCTGGTCCGAATGCCGTAATAAAATTGATGCGGTCAACCCTGCCAGGCGAACAGCTGTAGTCCCCACCACCAGACCAGCCATGATGGGGCGGCCTTGCGCCCAGACCCCGCGGAACCCTCCAAGAGAGCTCAAATCAAATTCCCCCTCAAAAATACCACCCCCTGGCCTCTAGCGGCGAAGGCGGCGACTAACTTTGAGGCTGACTTTGACGCTGCTGCTGCTGCTGCTGCTGACGACGACGACGACGACGACGACGACGACGACGACGACAGCGCCGGCGGCGGCGGCGGAGTACCTTCTTCTGCTTTCGAGGAGGGTGAGCCCCCAGCTAGGAACGGTGAGCGGGCTGCGTCTGAGTCGTGACGAAGGCCAAGCCAGCACCTCGCTGGGCCTCAGGATGCCCCCAGGGGCCCTGGTGGTGCCAACGGAAGGAGGGGGGAGGAGTGGAAAACAGGGAGAGTGAGGAGGGAGGAGGGAGAGGAGGTGGAGGGGGAAGGATGTGGCGGAAGGAGGGGGCGGAGGGAGAGGAGGTGGAGGTGGAGAGGAAAAAGGGAAAACGAGAGAGGGAGAGAGAGAAGCAGGTGGTGGTGCAACGATGGCGTGACGGTCGACGTGTGCTCAGACGATTGCTATTCTATCTGCAGTCCAGTGGCCGCCTAGTAACTGCACAGGTGCAAACAGGAGTAGACTGCCGATCTCCAGCTGTTCCTGCTTCTTTGTGGTGGCCCACTGCACCCCCCACAACATGTAGTCATTGGTCCATAGGGGAGGGGGGCCCCCTTCATCCACCGGGCAGCACACCAAGCTTCACACGGGGGCCCCCCAGGCCTGTGTTCCACACTTTGTGAGCCCTGATGTGTCCCCGCCATTCTGCTATTGCCCGACGCCGGGTAAGATCTCCCTTCGAATTTTGAATGGCGATGTCTACTGAAAGCATTGTGATCTGACAGCCTGGGAGCATGACCTCGGCTTCAATGTGGGGCTGAACGTCTCCAGATCATCGCATGCCCGTGAGTAAATGTAGAATAATACGTCCGCTGTGCATGCGTATGGGTACCGCAGATTGGGCAACCTCCTGGAAATCCGAGGGGCCGGTAGATGTAGTAGCGGTCCTGGTACATCTGTTCGCCCAACTCAGTAGACTTATTTTGTGGGGTTCCTTACGGGGCTGCATGGGCATCCTGATATAAGGCCCCTCGGGCCTCGTCGGTGAGCTCGTAGAGGGAGTCCTGGAGTACGGCACGGGCCGCCTCTTCCGTGAAAGTAACGAAGACCGAGTTGGAATCCCCCACGAGGCCTTCAGGGGGCACATGTGTAGTAGCTGGGAATGCCGACCGCCAACTCCACAGTCCCGCCCGCCTCTGAGCCTTTGCAATGTGAGCTGGAACTTCCGCTCCGCGCAAGAAATGCACCAAGCAGCATCGTGCCGAGACAAACGCAAGGTGGTCTCTGACCTGTCTCCTCTGCGAGAAGGGCTTGGCACACGCGCGGGAAGTACCGGAGAGACCCATGATGAATTCACTTGACATGGCTCGGACGTGTTCATTTTTCATCTGCGAGGGCCATCGAGGAGCAAATTGGATCATCATACGGAGAAGTACACGCACGACATCGAAAAATGCACGGCGAATGGATGTCCGAGCGATGGCGAGTTCAACGTGCTTCACAAACGCATGATGTTGTTGTACGATGTGTTGCTGCAGGGCAGGCCTTTTGAGAAACCTCTTGAGGCACCAGGGGCGCTCCAGGTCGCTCCTATCTTACCGGTCAGCCTGACGAATCGGATGGTCGGGATGAGTCGGACGGGGCCATGACGAGGACAAATCCGTCCTTGCGCGTTCCGGAACTTTCTCTGAGCGTTCCAGAACGCTCTGAGAAGGCCGCTGGACCCGAGACATCCTCCAGAATCGCTTGATCTCAAAGATTCCCGATTTACCCTCACTCGATTTTATCCTCGTCCTGGCTTCGTCTTAATGCGTGATTGGCAAGGGCACCCCGCATGGCCTAACGCTGTTGACGAAAGTCTGCTGGCTCTGCCATGGCAAGGCGCCTGGCTGCCGTGGCGTGGTTTGCCTGCGCGCATCGCAGTAGTTGCCTCCACGATTGCAATGACCTGAGCACGATGGCCTCCCAAGGACGAGCATCCGAAGTGGGATCAGGGAAATCCTCGAGCTCCTCGACGTGACAACAGGTTTTAACCGAAGCAGGTCGTTGAAGACCTCCCGAAGCCATGAGGAGAGGGAGGAATGGTAAGCCATGGCCACTAGGTTGTTGAGCACTTCCGAATCGTTGTGGAGGAGCCTTCCGAATATCCGTAGTCGACGGATTCGCAGTTGTGTCTGCACATTTGCACGTCGAACAGCCGCGAGAACCAACGAAATCACTTACTGCATTGCAGTCATACTTGGCCATGCGCGCTGCCGACTGGAACTTAGTGAGAATATTGCTGCTTAGTGAGCTCTCCTGCGCTTCAGGCATGCCGTGCCATGTGCCAGCATTCAGAAGCTCTGATGAAGTGATGAGCAAATCCAGGAAGTGCACCTTGATGTTTACATCTGTCGCCTTGCCCCCAATGGACGGGAATGCCTTACGTCGTAACTGATGCCAGGACGATGCATATGTGCTTGATGCTGGTGGGCGAATTCTGGGCCCAATGAGGCCCTCTCGTCCAGGATAGTGCTCAGGTATGGGGTACTGGCGGACTGCCTGTAGCTGCGTTGTGCCAAAAACTTGGGTATCTGCACGTGGTATGCCCTCCATGTCTTTCCTAAGACGTGTTTTGTTTTTTTCTGAGCTGGGACCTTGACATTGGAATACACATTCTGATCTACCCCTGTTCATATTGAGTTGGAGTGCCCCCTCAGTGAATTCTGTGACCACAGTGCTGATCACACACCTTGCGCCATGTCCAGAAGCTTTTTTGCGCCAAGCCGAGGATGACGAGAGCACCGTCGTCAAGAACGCATGTGTCGATGGCCTGGACAGCCCTGTCGTCGCCTGCGGCCTATCTGGCACAACAGTTCGGCCGCCTGCTGTGGGGACATCCGGTGGATACCCCTTGGCTGCAGGCTGTGCCACTGCTGCATTCACACATTCTGCCATCACAAAGCTGCACACCACGTTCCACAGCTGCTGTCCCAGCACTGATCCTAGCATAGGACATGCTATCTTAGACGCACCTTCATCATAAAAGCAATATCCATTGTACGCTGTAGCCGTAAGTGCATGCACATGTCTAGGCACTCCTGCACGCTCCAGA